ATTTCTTTTGATAATGCAACTGCCAATACTGCATCTATACGTGAACTTACAGATATTTGCTCACCAATTTGTGGAGGAAGATTTTTTCATGTTCGTTGTATATGTCATGTATTGAATTTATGTGTACAATCTGGTTATAATACTTTTAAAGATTCAGTCACGCCAATTAGAAATGCTGTTAATTATTTACATAAACGTCCTCAAGAAAGGAAAGCATGAGGGGCGTTTTTGTAAGAATGAAGGGTTGAAACCTAAAAAATTTCAACCCGACGTTCCCACCCGATGGAATTCAACATATAAAATGTTGAATAACACAGTTCCTTTTATGTCGGTGTTGGAGAAGTTTTTTAACGATCCAAACCGCAGGGACTGTGACATCCGAGTCTCCACAACAAATTGGGAGAATTGTAAAGTACTTATTAGTTTTTTAGAAACATTTCAAAATGCTACTTCCATGCTTTCCGGTGTTTATTATCCTACTGCTCAGCTTGTATTAAGTCAATGTATAGCTATCATGTGGGCTTTATCTGATCTTTACAAACTTGATTATTTTAAATATACAGATTTAGTAAGTGAAATGTTAAAGAAATAGTTAAAATATTATTTTTATATTCCTGATACATTTTTAGTTGCATGTTTGTTAGATCCTAGTGTACGTGAAATCGAATTGATGGATAATCTTAACCTTTATTATAATCATATGTTTGAACTCCCACTGCCGACTGAGGTGGAAGAATACAGTCAAAAACCTAACGTTAGACTGCTCGTCGAGCAAGCAAAAGATTTGTTGTATGAAATGTTCAGGGAAACAGCGATCGCGCAAGGAGAGCATCCCAGCTCATTTGTTCGTGGCGGCAGCGGCAGCAGTGCTTCTTCTTACGGGAATCGAGCAGGCGCAAGGAGAGCATCCCAGCTCATTTGTTCTCACGTTCGAGTCGTCAACACTTCACATTGATTTCACCCCCCTATTCATTAGTTCCAAACTTCCAGTGATTTCTGAACAAATTCATAACCACATGTCTAAAAAATAAATACAAGTAATACGAAACATATTGTACAAGAACTACGTTCACTTTCATTCGCAATAAAAAAAATGAACATGTATTTAATATATATATATATATATACTAAAAAAAAATAAATAAACCCGGAACCGGCGGGTCTGATCCGGACCCGGCAGAAAACCGGCGATTTTCAGACCCGCCGGTACAGGGCCGGTTCAACGAACCGGCCCTTACTTCTAACCGGGCCGGTCCCAGTTCGCCAAATCCAGGACCGGTGTCCCGCCGGGCCGGGCCGGGCCAGGCCGAGGCCCGGCACCTGGCCATGTCTACATAGGATAGTGGGTTTGGGAAAACATTGTCATTTAATAATAGTTAAAGAATAATCCAATGATATCGTCGCCTTTGTCCCTTAATAACAGCCTTCTCTAAACTTCAACATGTAAAAAACTCTGAAAAAACAAACTCAATCGGCCAACCGGCTAAAAGTCGAAGTGTGAAATAGCAATAGGCCCACAACGTTCGAAGTTGGGCAAACAAAACGACAGTTACTTTCAGAATATAAGGTAACGTGTAAAATTCCCAATACATTGTCCCAAAGAATTGAAGGAAGAAAGAACTCATCCAATGTTTTTTCCTCACTCAACATCCAGAATATGCAAAATGTTATCCCCTGGAAGATGGTACAATTATGTTGCAACAGTAACCAGGATATTTGATTACCAGATAAGATGTGTTGCACTATTTGCCATTCCAAAAATCAAATTAGTAGTAGATAAAACAAAGGCAACACAAATTGATAATTGTTTAAGTAGTGTTCTTTTACCAAAAATTACATAAATAGGTAGAACATAAACAATATGGAAAGGCGTGACATAATATCCTCGGATTTTCACACCTATCGCAAGAATTGGGAAACATATGCAGGAATTTTCGGCAAATTGATATGGGATGTGTTTGGAGTCTTCAAATTACTACAAGAGCTTGTTGCAAGTGCTTACACCAATAACGGCAGCAAGGTGCCAAGCAGCGTGAAGAAATGGAGTTTGAGGGAAAAGGTCGTCGGCAATGAAAAGTGCTCCGCCTAATAATGACGACATCTTATGGACATTATGGGCCATCCTCAGCTCTGGATCTTCAAATGCTCTCTTAGCAAATGCAACCTTATCACCAAGAAAAAAATACCATAATATAATTAGTCTGATAACTTTTTTCAAATTACAGTTTCACCCTCGAGGCAATACAAATACAAAACGGTTTGTATCTATACAAGTATCTTAATCAAGTAACCAACAAGACATAAGACATGAAGTTTTCCCATTTACAGAAAACTCATGCTAATATTTTTAGCTGTCGAGTTGTTAAATAGAAATAATAATAATCTCAAAATACGGGTATATTGACTAAAGAAATAGAAAGGTACCTCCATCATCCCAGTATGTACAGCTGAGACCATCAGAGGCTGTATGGGCAGAAAGAAGGCAGATGCCGCCATCAGCAACTTTGGGTTCTCGTTTCTGATTGCTCTTGATAGGCACTGCACAAGAACAAAATTCAATAAAAGATTGCCATCATACAATAGGGCAATACTGATGACATAATTCCACAGACTGAACAAACTCAAATGGGCGAAAATTTTTAAATTGTACAGTCGCCCAATAACAGCAGTGAATCCAGATTACATTTTTATCCTCACCCTCAATGACATAGCAAGCATAAACAAGTGTCAGTGGGCTTTTATTTAAATAATGTGAATAGTCAAGTAGATGAGAATTTGAGAAGCCCGGTTCATAAAAAATTAAACTTACACAGCTCCTAATTAGAAACCTTCTCGTTGGAAAAAATGCATGTTGACTTAACTTTTGTAGTGTGGTCTTGCAATGAATAATCTCATTTGTACCAAACAAATCAAGATACAAAATGAAATATTGAAAAATAACAAATCAAATTTTCCAGGTCTTCCCTCAAGAACTTATCATCTCAAGCAACTAAGAAAATAAGAGGAGATGTTAAGAAAATACTTCTATTTACATTTACCTCGAATTTTCTGTTAAAAAATAGTGAAGCCCAATAACTTGGAATGACTGAATTATTTAACTCACCACTGTAGCTGTGGCTATCATGGTGTAGTCAGCCCATCTGAGATACTTCCTTATTTTCCCTCTCGAAGCATGATAAAAACTTGATGCAACTCCTACACCAATTAAAGAATTTGCGTAGATTTTACAATTCAAGTTTTTCCTGCATCAGAACCTAGTAAGATATGAGTAGCAATAAAATACACAGCTTCTCGCTTGTAATTCAACTTTTGAGTAGACATAGAATCATCACCTTGGAGCTTGGAGTCCAAGAACAATAAAGGGAAGTGAAGTAAGAACATTTACAACTGTTTCAGTAATGTTTTTATCACCTGCGAGAGATCAAAAATTCATCACTACTGATAAACAATAAAAAAATAACTAAACAAAATATGTACCAGGTTAGATTTAGTATACATAGTACCACTATGGTTACAATGAATGGGCCTCAAACAGGCAGGTCTTTGATGCCAGACCTTCCTGAATAACAAGATATCACAATTAGCGACAAAGAACAAAAAAAAAAAAAAAAGAGTACCTGCATTTTTTAAGTTGGTAAATTGAACATAAGCAAAAGTTAAAAAATGTGGAATCGTTTGACTCACTGGAAAATAAGCCTTTGGCCGCTCCCAGAATGGGAGGAACCACAGGGCGACTCATCGATATCCCCATGTTGTTTTATCTCTTGGAAGGTAAACGGAAAATGAGAGACCAAACGGACTCCATGCACTCCGACTAAGGCTTTACTGGGCTTTAAAGCAGCCTCAGCAGTCATATGTTACTCGGCAATCAGTCCAAATTAGACCGATTGCCAAAAATACATACGGACCTCAATATGGGAAGTTAGGATGCACCAAGGTTTGAATATCTGAAAAAACATGCAGATGCAGATAGAACATTATGACATCATAAAAAGGTATAAATATTTGCAATAAAGGTCAAGATGCACTTAGATTCCTCGACTAAGTACTCGAATTCTTGAATACAGCTTTCAATACCACTAATTCTCCAATTCTTTCATCAATCGCTTTTTATATCAATCAGATTCAGAGGGAATCTGAACTGGGCTTATCCATTTTACAGGCTGAAGATAAAAAACTAGAATCTTTCATCATTCAAGATCCAAAATTTTCAGATGGGGCTCAACAACAGTGGTAAAACTGAACTTAGATTGGCATTCAATGTTAATAACAGAATTAAATCAACAATATATAGATAACCTCAACAATTAACAAAGCAGCTGACAGCTCCATACTTGGCAATGTAAACTAATACATACATTCTAAAAGACTTTGAGAAGAATTAGAAACACAGTGTGAGCTTAAGAATAACTCAATCCAAGCAATTGGGCCTAAATAATAAATAAACGCAATTATGCATCGAAAACCCAAGTATACAACAAGCAGATACATATAAGCCACCGAATTTTAAGAACAAAGAAATTTTGTTTGAAAAAGAAAAAAAAAAAATAAGATCGAAAGAAATTAAAGTTGAACTTCATCACATTCTGCAAATGTATGAGAGAAGCTAAAATCACCTGGAAAATTGAGAACGTTATTGCAATGAAAGGTGCTCGACAGAATATACCGATTGGGGAAAGACCTTTGGAACTCAATAGAAGTCAAAATTAGGGCAATTATGGTCTTGTAGATTCGGATAAAAGATGCGAATGTGAAATAGAAGATCTTCCTTGTGATTTTTTTTTTCGGGGGTTGGGTGTTGTGGTGAGTGGTTTGAGGCATATCCTACAAATCTTCCGAGTATAGTGGTTCGTGCTAGTAAATAATTCATTTGGGTACATCTATATATACTTAGGTTAAATCATTACTTTAAAATATATTGTATAAAATTTTACTAAACAAATAAAAATGCAAGAATATAGAAAAAATATCTGATATATTATTCACAAAGACAAATACGTATATTTATAGATACCTCAAGGTGGTATAGTGAAGATCAACTTGAGTTTGCTAAGAAGTAAACAAAGACGACCGGGAAGGAGAGACTTTGTGAAGACATCCGCTAGTTGATCTGTAGAGATGACGAAACAAGCTTCACGGTCCCTGTGCAACATGTTGTCGAATGAAGTAACAGTCAATCTCAATATGCTTGGTGTGCTCATGAAAGTATCATTATGAGACATCTTTATAGCACTCTGATTATCACAAGTAAAAGAGTAGACGACGACTTAGGTGCACCAAGATCAATAAGTAGTCGACGCAGCTATAATAACTCTGAGGTGGAATCAACAAGAGCACGATACTCAGACTCAACACTCGATCTAGAAACTAATGTTTGCTTCTTACTGCGCCAAGTGACGAGTCAATCACCTGGAAAGAAGCAGTACCCAGTAATAGAAAGACGATCAGTAGGATCTCCAGCCCAATCTGCATCAGAATAACCGATAAGCGTCAAGGAAGAATGCGCCGAGAAGTGTAAACCATGCAATAGAGTGTCTTTCACATAACGAAGAATGTGCAACTGTTGTAAATATTTTCCTGAGCAGAATCGAAAGATTCGACACCGGGTCGTGTCTCTCGAGGAAGGTCAGCCGGAATATTGAGCACGTTTATTCACACGCAAATAATAGAAATAAAAAATCCTAACATACTAGTTCAAAGGTTGGATGGTTTTTATTATCGACTACTGCAAATAAATAAATAAAGCAAGTAAATAGCAGACGATCACGTAGAACAAATAAGGTTTAAGAAACTAGGGAGTCGGGGATTCCTGCTTTGGTTCGACATGCAACTAACGGGCAAGTGATTGTTCAGCTAAGAAATTCGATTAATCTACCTGATCAAGCATTCATTCTCAATAACTATTCGTAACAAGAGAATAAACTAGAACGGAAAATTAACGAGTCAATTAACTCCTATGCAATAAAGTTACGAACAAGCCTAGTTCATGCGAATCTATTTCGACCGACTCTTCCCTTTTCGGTTCTAAGAGTCGATTAAATAATCCTAGAAGATGGTTAATCAACTAGTCGATATAGAGTTAACAATATCACGCAAGAACGAATCAAATTCAATCAAAATAATTGCACATTGAAGTGTCACCCTTCAATAATTCTCAACATTCAAGCATCAATCGAAAACCCTAATTAAGCATGAATCGCATAAATTGAACAATTTTGAGCCCGACAATCACAAACAAATTCAAAGCATCGATCCCTTAATCCCTAGCATAAAGATTTAGCTACTCATGCTCGAATTACCAACAATAATGAGCATCTCAATCGAAGAACCCATGCTTAACGAATAAATTAGGAGAAAAATCTTACGATTGATAAACCACGAAAATGAAGTCGATAAACAAGCTTGAATCTCAAAGCAATAATGTAATTCGACCTTAAATCCTTGCTCTATGATGAAAATTATTGAAGAAAAGTAAAAGAAACGAATGAAAGAGATGAAGGTAGGGTTTCGTGTTTTTGTCGTGCGTGAAAAGAATAATAATCCTCTCGTCAAAGTCTCGGTCGCCTATTTATACTGTAGCAGGTCTCGGCGCGGCAAGGGTGCAGCACGGCGTGACAGGTGCCAGCACCGCGGTGTTGGTGTTATATACTTAAGCTTTGCTTTAGT